GTACAACTAAATTAGAACTTGAGAAACCTGGAATGCAAAACAAATAATAATAGAAAATAATAAAAAATAGAAACAACTGAAATATTCTGTATTAGGTGGCTGATATTACAAGGTACATAATTATGTTCTATTATATATAAAGTAAAGATTTATAAATAAATAAGGTATTTAGTATATTATTTGAAACCTCAGTCTTGTTTGTGTTGTCTTTCCATCAGAAATTGCCGCACAGTCCGAGTCGAGTGAAATCCGTCAGGACTGGAAGCCGCCTTTCCTTAGCAATGAGGAGTTCACACAGTTGATGCTGGAGGTGAGGACTTACTCATACATACACATTTGCCTAATCCCCCTACTTATGTGTATTGATATTCTTCATTTGCTTTATTTTTTTAGGCTCTAGATGGCTTCTTTTTGGCCATCATGACAGACGGAAACATAATCTACGTCTCAGAAAGTGTCACGTCTTTATTAGAACATCTACCTGTGAGTATGAACACACTGCATTTTTTTAAACAAAATTACAGTAAAATTAGTCAAATATTATTACAATTTAAAATAACAGTTTCTGTTCTATATATATTTTAAAATGTGTTTATTCCTGAGATAGCAAAGCTGAATTTTTAGCAGCTATTACTCCAAATCATTCTAATATGCTGATTTGGTGCTCGTGAAACATTTTTTATTATTATCAATGCTGAAAAAGGTAATACATTTTTTTTTTTTCAGGATTCTTTGCTAAAATGAAAATTCCAAAGAACTTTTGACATATTTTGGAACATAATGAATGCTTTACTGTCACGTTTGACTAATTTAATGCATTGTTGATGAATAAAAAATTGATATCTTAAAAAAAAAAAAAAAAATCATACTAACCCAAAACTTTTGAATGGTTGTGTTACTTTTTAGAAAAATAGCTCAAAATAACTTCATGTGAAATGTTAGGTTTCTAAATTCATCAGCGACTAAAAATATTAAAGCAAATATTGAATCTAATAATTAATTTGATGACATTGCTAAACTACTATTTGTGTACTCCTAACCTCTTAACCTAACCACACTGACAGCAATTTGCAGATACAAAGCAACCAAAAATAATTCATTTTCAATGAGAGTGGATTGGGCTTCAGCGACCGCTGACTAAGCGACAGCCATATTCAAATGAGCAGTATCACAATTCTGATATGAATACAGTGTTTGATATTGCATCCATGCATTTGTTACCACAACAACTCTGCAGCCACTAGATATTCATGTGAACAGTTTTACTGTGTAAGTATGAGAGATACTGACAGTGTCTGTTGTTGTGTTTTCAGTCTGATCTTGTGGATCAGAATCTGTTGAATTTCCTTCCACTGGGTGAGCACTCAGAGGTGTATAAAGCTCTATCCACACACATGCTGGAGGGAGAGACCCTCACCCCAGACTACCTAAAAAGTAAGAATCCCTCTCAAACATGCTGTTTTTACACCTTTATCATCTCATCATGACCAAAAAATTCTTCTGGTCTGTCTCTCTCTTTGTTATTGTCTCATTTCTTTGAGCACAGATCACTAGACAAGAGCTCATTAATGCTGTTTTCTTGTTTTTGTTTTGTTTGCTTCCCTGCAGCAAAGAACCAGTTAGAGTTCTGTTGCCACATGCTCCGGGGCACGATCGACCCGAAAGAGCCGCCCGTTTATGAGTATGTCAAGTTCATCGGAAACTTTAAGTCCCTCAACACTGGTGAGTGTCAGAACGAGTGCCTGCAGCATCAGCCGAGTCTTTCATATGGATCCATTTATTGAATTACCCAGCCAAGTGCTTGATTGCTTGTGCTTCTTATGAGAGTAGATGGAGCAAGGATCATTATTTGAATAGGAAGTGTTGCGAAAAGCCAGTGTGCCAAAGAAACAGGCTTCTGACCCAGATTTTGAGATGGAAAGTTGACCATTTGTGGCCATTTGACAGCCATCAGTACATATAATTGTATATTGTTATATGTACTGAGCACCTGTGTTTACACTTTTCAGGGGAATCGACCTACAAATAGACTTAATTATACAGTAGTTGATGAGGGAGTATTTAAACCTTTAAATAATATAGAATAATATATACAATAAATACAGGAATGATTAATGCTGTCAGTGAATTTATCAACAATAAAGATTAGATGAGATGAAAAAGTCACCGTGATGATAATTAAACCATTTTAATTAAAATAGATAATACATTAGGATACTCATTACATTCTATTTCAGGAGTTCAGGTTAATAAATCCTTTGTATGCTTGAAAAGTTAACTAATAATTGTTTAATGGTGGAAAAGTTCAATTTGTCATAGTTTGATACATTTTCATCCTTTTGCAAAACTATTTTTAATACTATTTTTGTAGATTATTTATGATCCTTCTAATTCGCTGATTTGATGCTCAAGATGCTTAATACATTTATTATTATTATCAGTGTTGAAAACGGTTTTTATTTATTTATTTATTTTTTTTTCATTTTGTTAACATTATTAACATTTTTTTTGTATAAATATAAACGTGTTTACTGTCACTTTTGACCAGTTTAAAGGTAGTATTAATTATTAAAAAAAAAAAAAAAAAGACAAAAACCAGACCCAATTTTTTGAATGGTAATTTAACTTGTATTGCTTGACAGGTATTGCTTTAAATTAATTCCTCTAAATAATAATAAAAAGAACAATGATCATATTTAATTTTCAATTATTATTATTATTAATATCAGTGAGTGTAAAATGGTCTAAAAATGAATGAAAGAATGAACATGACATTGAACAAGATAGACTAAATGTCACATTTTTTTCAACATTCAACATTTTTGTCAAAAGACAAGCTATGTCTTAAAATCAACACTGCAGAAATGTACTGTTTTCGATACAAAAAGAGTTTCTTATACCTGAATTAATATTTAGTATTTGACGTTTCCTCGCAGGTGCTGCCCCCTAGTGGTAGGCTAAAGAAAATAAGCTTATTGCTTATTTTCTCTCAAAACACTTCCATTCATGAAGATTTGCTTGTCTATTCCTCTGTAGTGCCTAACTCAACACGTAACTGCTTTGAGGGAGTGATCCAGCGATCGCTGAGGCCAATGTTCGAAGACCGAGTGTGTTTCATAGCAACTGTGAGGTTAGCCAAGCCTCAGTTTATCAAGGTAGGTTGAGCCAAAGCCGACTTGGCACCTTCTCATTGGTCCTGTGACTTCTAACATTTGCCTGACAGACAGTGACAACCTCAGTGAGATCTGTTGTGTACATATTCATCATGACACGGGGTGAATGTATTTGTGTGGGCGTGTTGATAGACACTGTACATGTTTGTGCAAGAATTGCCTTTGTTTTTGAACACACTGATAAATGACCAGCATGCATAACACTCAGTGTGAGAAGTAGGTCACTTGGTTTCTGTTCTCGTTTTTTGTCTGCTAGATGTGCTTATAAGAAAGAACGCTCTTGTTTATAACCTCTGTTCCACAGGAAATGTGTACTGTGGAGGAGCCCAATGAGGAATTCACCTCCAGACACAGTTTAGAATGGAAATTCCTCTTCTTGGACCACAGGTACAAACTTCATCTGTTCTCACGACTGTTTTTGTGAGCTCATCGTCAAGCACACACACATCACCTTCCCTCTCCAGGAAAACTAAAGAGTACCTCTGCTAGTTAGTTTCACTTAGGCCCGGATATTATCTGTCTCAGGTGATCGGATCACTAGAGGTCAGACGAGATTTTACTCTGGATAGAATGTGTCACCTGTGACCTCTTGCGATTGGATTTCAAGGAGAGGATCTCTTGATTTCATGGCTGTACTGATACATCACTATGTCAGTGTGGTACTACTACTACTACTACTACTAAGAGACGAGGAAAGAAAGACAGAAAGAAAGAAAAGGAACAGAAGAATAAAACAAGCAGCAGAAGTAGAAAATAATTAGGACTAAAGTTGGAAAAATAGATAGCAAGGAACAAATCATTCGTTGTAAAAAAGAAAACTGTGCTTAAATAAACATTGAATTGGGTTCTTAAAATGATAAAAGTTTTTTTTAAGTGTACTTGCAGAATATTAATGAAATTAAAGACCACTTAAGTGTACATAAAGTACACTTTCAAAATGTGTACTTTATAATAGTAAAATTAAAAGCTTTACTTTAAAATATATTACAAAGCATCATGATTTAATAATCTTTTGCCATGCTTACTTATGTTGATGTGTTTACTAACGTACTAAAGCACATTTTAAGTACTTGTTTATAATTTTAACTATAGTGTTACTTGATATTACATTACAAGTGAATATATTTTAAGTGTTTTAAACTAAATTGCAGCGTTTTCATTACAGTTGTGTAATTACAAATATAATTAATAAATATGATTAATATTAGTTAACACATGCCATACAAGTTTCAACAGAAATAACATTCAAATATATTTTAGTTTACCATAAATGCCTGTCAGTCCATTCAGCAGTACAGTTTAACCGTTTAACATTTTTTAGTTTATGCCAAGCTGTGAAATATCTTATGGGGTACAAATTGTAAGTATAAAATGTTTTTAAAAACAAATCCGGTCACGCTTTATTTTAAGGTCCAGTTTCCTCTATTAACAAACCATTAACTACGATGTTTGCCTCAATAAACTCCTAATTTGCTGCTGCTTAATAGTTAGTAAGGTAGTTGTTAAGTTTAGGTATTGGGTAGGATTAGAGATGTAGAATATGGTCATGCAGAATATGTGCTTTATAAGTACTAATAAACAGCCAATATGTTAATAATAGGCATGCTAGTAAGCAACTAGTTACTAGTGAGAATTGGTCCCTATACTAAAGTGTTACCACAAATCCTAATCCAGTAGTCACAAACAAATTGAAAAGTCATGGGGGACTAGAATATTGTTGTGGACAATGGGGAGCCTTGGAGTTAAAAAATAACTGAGAACCACTGTCTTAATGTCACTTCTTTACAGTACCTTCTACCTTGTTTTCGAGAAGTCCTGCACTTCAAGCTGTGTGAGCCTGTGACAGTCACAATACACTCCCCTTGAGACTTCTCAGGTTTTGAAGACGTTTGTTGTTCTGGCTTGCACTTTGTTAGCACTAGCATGACTCGGAGTAATCAATAGCTCACGTTCAGCCCACAGGCTCAAAGGCTTATACATTTGGAATAACATGAACATAATTTTCTCTATAAAAACATAATGCCATTATGCTTGGAAAGGTTTTTACTGAATTTAGATGAGTTGTTTTGGAAGAATAGCTGCTGGCGCTGGTGCTACTCTATATTTAGTTAAAATCTCGGATTCGGTTTAATCGGCACAGATGCTGGATATTAAAGTGATTGAATAAGATTTTCCACATTATCAGTTGTTTAGCAGAAGCTAGTGGCGCTTCAGATCTTTTTATGCTGTTTTTATCCCAAAACATTTTCATATGACTCAAGGAATGCCTGAAAATCTGTTCCAAGACCTCAGTCTTTGCAAAAAAAAAAAAATGACATTGAGTCATTTTAAAAAAGTAAATTGTTTAAAATAATAGATGGTCTGAATTAAAAAATGTAGAACTTTTTTTTTTTTTTAAGGTAAGTGGTTGCAAACAGTTTATTTTAGCTACATTCAAAAAATGTTTTGAAAGTTAGTCAACTAAATTTGTTTATTTAAATGTAGCTAAAATAAATTGATTGCAACTACTTACCTTAAAAAAATGTAGTAAATTCAATGAATCATTTTTTCAGTGATGCTGCAGAAGTTTTGAATTCAGTTCAGTTGAGTTTTCTTCTATAAAAACATTATTTCTAGTCATTAAGTAAACTTTTTTTCCCCCTAAAAGAAGATAATGGTTATGCTTTTTTTAAATGGGGTGTCAATTTAATCACACACAAAAAAGAAATCGGTCTAAAATCAATAAATCAATCAAAATCAATAAACTATAACATTTAAAACTCGAACATTTGCAACAAAACAATTTGCAACAAAAATGCATTTAAATGAAAATTAATAACTTGATTAACTTGGTGGGAAAATCACCATGTGCACATTTGAACAGCTTCTTTGAAGTCTGAGCTTTGACCTTGAAAATACTTTTTTTAAACAATAATTCATCATGTTTGTGACATTTGATAACAGGATCTATAGTATTCATTAAGAACGGTATTAATTAAATGTAGTTTGTTTCGCTTTTAGCACACTAGTTAGACTTTGCACTAATGCTTAACCTGGAAAAAATTAAATAAATAAATAACAATATTTGCCATAGAAGTATTATACTGGATAAAGGGCACACAGGTTTTTTCAGACACTTGACAAATTCAAATAATTTTGTAGTAGTTTTTTGTATTGTTGAAATGTGCAAAACGTTACGTAACAAACGGTTAGATTATAGAAATATGCCTTTTATATATTTTCTTGACCATTTGAATTCTTTTTCTTGACTCAAATCAGTGGATATATTTGTCACCATATTTTTTTAGAATGACCCCACTGAATACACGTATGCAGATGATGTGAAGTTGCGTTGTTGTATTTTGCAGGGCACCCCCCATCATTGGCTACCTACCCTTCGAGGTTCTGGGTACTTCAGGGTACGACTACTATCATGTGGATGACCTGGAGACTCTGGCCAAGTGCCATGAACACTGTGAGTTCATCTACTGTTTGTGTGCGCTCGTGTCTCCCCACTTTTAAAAATGGACAACGGTTTGAAATTTATGAATGAGTGGCACTGTTTTGAGTTTTGACTTTGTAATAATAAGATATCTCTCTCTCTGCAGTGATGCAGTATGGTAAGGGGAAGTCGTGCTATTACCGTTTCCTGACTAAAGGTCAGCAGTGGATCTGGCTTCAGACTCACTACTATATCACCTACCACCAGTGGAACTCACGGCCGGAGTTCATCGTCTGCACACACACTGTGGTCAGGTGAGAGTTTCAGAACATGAAACATCTGAACTACTAACAAGAAAGAAACAGCTGCCATCTTCTGCCAGTGGTTTTACACTGAATCCTAGCAGGCACAGAATAATAAAGCATAAAGCAGGATGTGGTGCTTCTGTTTATAGAGAATTTCTTAGGTTTATTTATTTATTTATATAAATGATGTTTTCTTTTTGTCTCAGCTATGCTGAAGTGAGGGCTGAACAGCGCAGGGAACTGGGCATTGAGGAATCACCTCCTGAGATCTCAGCAGACAAGGTGAGACATTACTGAATTCAGTTCTGAATCCCCATTTAGCCTTTATTATAACAGGCAAGTATTCTTTTATTTACACAAAAAAAAATCTTTATACATTTGATTTAATATTATACTACTAATAGTATTTTAAAATAGCTTATTTTTATGATTTATTTTAATGTGTAATAAGTGTAATATTTATTCCTATAGATTTAAAACATTTATTTTGTTATTAAAAGATTATATCATTTATTCAATTCTGAATTCCCAATCATCCTACAAATATAACAGACAAATATGTAAAATATCATTAAGTAAATTGATTTAAACTAATGTATATTTATTTTTTCATCTTGATATTACATTTATTTATTTATTTTTAAATATTTAATATAATATATAAGTGGTGCACAGCAGGTGCGTATGCACAACCAAAATTTTAAATGCACTTTGTAAATAAGTTCAGACCATTCATTTGTGTACTAACATGGTTGACAGCTGTTAATGCACAATCAGCATTTCAGATCAACTGTGATACTGTATAAGATTTCCATTCAAACTGAAAGCATAAATCTAGGCTATGTGCTGCGGGTTCTGCAGCAAAATGCAAAACTGACATTTCATTCACTGACACGCTCCACTCGGAAGCGCTAAACCCGGCAGTGCATATACTTACTTGCCAGCAACCCACCCAAATAAAATTAGGTTAGGTTTGAAAATGATGAAATTTCCTAAAACTAAATAAATAAATAAAAATAATACAGTAAAATAATTGTATTTTTATATAATACTCCCTTTTTATTTTAAAATATAATAGTATTATCACACTTTATTATTTTATTTTAAAAACTAAATAAATAAAGTGCAATAATATTATTACTATTATTCATTTTTTTTGTTATATTTAATGGGTCACACTGTTTACACAAATTCAAATTCTTTTATAATTCAAATTTATCATTCAAAAAAAACATTTATATTTTATTATATATGTATTTTATGTATTTTCTCAATATATGTATTTTTCAACATTTATTCAATATATTAATTTGATAAATTAAATATATTTATTTATAATTTATATAATTATGTTAGATTAATAAACCTTTCAATTAACCTTTTTTTTTTTTTAAAGAATGCCCCTCCCCAAATAATTTTCTATGGTAATAATCAATGATGTTCCACAGATGCTGTTGTGATAAATCTTAACTTGCACTGAACCCAGAACAAACCATTAATCCCTCTCTGTTTCACTCTGCTCAGTCTCAGGACTCCGGCTCTGAGTCCCAGTTGAACACCTCCAGCCTGAAGGAGGCGCTAGAGCGATTCGATCACAGCCGCACACCCTCCGCTTCATCACGGAGCTCCCGAAAGTCCTCCTCACACACCGCCGTCTCGGACCCTACGTGTACGTAATAATTTCAGTAATAACAGGCTCAGATTTTCACAGTTAACAGTTTTAAAATTAACTGTGAGATTTTCTCAGTTAACAGTTTATCAGAAAATCAGATTTTCACAGTTAACGGTTTTATTTAATGATAATATGATCATTACACGTATTAAAATCACATTTTTGGTTTATTCAAATATATTTAAGAATCTGAATATTAGATATTGTACAGCAGGGATCCTCAAATCTGGCCCACAAGATCCACTTTCCTGCAGAGTTTAGCTCTAACCCTAATCAAACACCTCAGCGTGCTAATCAATGTCTTCACGATCATTAGAAAATCACAGGTAGGTGAGTTTGATCATAGTTGAAGCTAAACTCTGCAGCGCATTGGCCCTCCAGGGCAAGATTTGAGGAACCCTGTTCTACAGTCTACATCCAGTTTACATCTTACCTATCTATTATCATTACATTTTAAAATATATTTATATAAAATGCTGTTGCAAAGAATCATGTGACCTTGAAGAGCATTTTGCAGAATCATTTTACATCTGAAGACCTGTATTGTTCTGGTAACTTTAACCCCTGAGGCCTCCTGAAAGTATTTTACCTGGTGCTGTTCATTGTTTTGTAGCCGGTGCTGCAGTTTTCCACGCAGATGGATGCGATGCAACATCTTAAGGAGCAACTAGAACAGCGCACACGCATGATTGAGGCCAACATCCAGAGACAACAAGACGAACTGCGGCAAATCCAGGATGAGCTGCAGAGGGTGCAAGGCCAGGGCTTACAGGTGAGAGCGCCCCTTAGCTTTTGATTAAAGATGCACTCCCTGCCTCAAATTGACACACTTTTGTTTGGCTATGTAGATGTTCTTGCAGCCTGGAGGTGGTGGTCTCAACCTCGGCTCAGTGCAGCTGACGCAGGGATCATCCGTGCAGCCAGGGGGCGCTCTGTCCATGCAGGGGGCGGTGGTGCCGGCAGGGAGCCTGCAAAGCGGCCTGCAATCCACACCCACAGCGACACAACACACTGTCACTCAGCAGGCACCGCCACAACAACAGAACCTTCTCAGAGATCAGAGCTCCACTCTAACTCAGGTGAGACAGTGAGCTATGAACACATTTGAAAAACAGCAACAGACATAGCAATAAAGTCTACTAGGAATTCAAATTTATTTATAGACCTGAATAAGTTTCTATTAAATTTTATGTTCAGTTTATTTAAAATAAATATGTAATATAATTTGATTTTAAAAAATCACGTTTATTCCCTCATATTACTTAATGACAGGAAATCCCTTCTGATTATAGTGCTGCATTAAAAGATTATTGTCAATAACTAAAACAAAAATATTTAAAAAAATAAAAGATATAAAATAAAATATAAATATTTTATGAAAAATTTACTGAAAATGAAATGGTATTTAAAAATGTTGCCTTGACAACTAACCGAAATAAGTTACTCTAATCCTAAATAAGTAAAAGTAATCAAACCTAAACAGTAAAGTATAAAAAAATCATGAAATCTAATAAAGCTAATAAAAAAAACTAAATCAAAAAGTAAAGTATTAATAAAAACTATAATAGTATATAAATAATACCAAAATAACACTTCTACATTACTGTTTAGAGGAGTGAAAATGTGCATTTTTGCTGAATATTCAGCCTTATAAATCCAAAACTGGTCTGTAAATAACATCTGTGGTACGTTCATATACAAAAAAAGATAAAACATCCTTCTATTAAATGTAAAAGTATATAAATACCATATATATATATATATATATATATATATATACAGTGCTGCTTGAAAGTTTGTGGGCCATTTAGAATTGTCTATATTTCTGCATAAATATAACCCAAAAAATCATCAGATTTTCATGCATGTCCTGAAAGTTGACAAAGACAACCCAATCAAACAAATGAGATGAAAATATACAAACAAATGAGATCTCTGAGGACCTCAGAACAAGAGTTGGTGTTGCTCATCAGGCTAGAAAAGATTTCAAAGCATCTCTAAAGAGTTTGGACTCCACCAATCAGTCAGACAGATTGTGTACAAATGGAGGAAATTCAAGACCACTGTTAACCTCAGGAGTGCTCCACCAACAAAGAACACTCTAAAAGCAAGACGTGTAAAAGTCCACTAGGTTTCAAAGGACTGCAGGCTAACTTCTAAGCAACTAAAGGCCTTTCTCACATTGGCTAATGTTAATGTTTATGAGCCCATCATCAGGTGAACACTGAACAACCATGGTGTGCATGGCAGAGTCGCAAGAAGAAAGCCACTGCTCTCCAAAAAGAACATTGCTGCCCATCTGCAGTTTGCTAAAGATCATGTGGACAAGCCAGAGGAATACTGGAGAAATGTTTTGTGGATGGATGAGACCAAAATAGAACATTTTGGTTTAAATGAGCAGCGTTATGTTTGGAGAAAGAAAACACTGCATTCCAGCATAAGAACCTTATCCCATCTGTGAAACATGGTGGTGGTAGTATCATGGTTTGGGCCTGTTTTGCTGCATCTGGTCCAGGATGGCTTGCCATCATTGATGGAACAATGAATTCTGAATTATACCAGCAAATTCTGAAGGAAAATGTCAGGACATCTGTCCCGAGAACTGAATCTGAAGAGAAAGTGGGTCATGCAGCAAGACAACGACCCCAAGCACACAAGTCGTTCTAACAAAGAATGGTTAAAGAAGAACAAAGTTAATGTTGTGGAATGACTAAGTCAAATTCCGGACCTTAATCCAATTGAAATTTTGTGGAAGGAACTGAAGCAAGTAGTTTATAGGAGGAAACCCACCAACACCAACAAGTGGTTCTGTACTGAGGAATGGTCTAAAACTCCTTCAAGATGTTGTGCAGGACTGATCAGCAGTTACAAGAAACGTTACTTGCAATTATTGCTGCAAAAGGGGTCAAACCAGATACTGAAAGCAAAGATACACATACTTTTGCCACTCACAAATATTTAACACCGGATCATTTTTCTCAATAAATAAATGACAAAGTATATATTTATGTCTTCTTTGTTT